TTATTTTTTTACAAAAAAGTACCAAAAAAGTTCACATACCTTCAATCAGTATAGTGATATACCTGTACCACTGTACCACCCAGTTCTTATTATAATGACAAAACAACCAGAGTTGCTCAAATATTTCACGTACCATGACAGATTTGTCCGGTTAATGTCCAAAAGAAAGGAATGCCACCACAGTCCTTCAGAACATCTGAAGCACAAAAACTAATAGGCTGTCATAACCATGGTGAGCTAAACAGGTGTGCAGTGAATTGATTTAATATTTCACTCCTTTTGTTTACAAAGCGGAACACTGCACAACAACATGTACTTCCGCTTCCACTGCTACGATTCTTCTTCTACGGTTTAGATGACAAATGATCCGCTGCCACCTACTGGACGTGTGTGTAAGTGACGCGCACCGACAGACAGGAGACAACCGTACAGTAGTTTACTAAATCTAAAACCATAAAATAAATTTTCGTTACTTGAAATAAAATAAATGTTAATGAAATAATATATATATATACTAAAAAACCTTACCCTTAATTTATTTCAGCTAGTTCCCAAGTTATTTTTCATATAGATATAGACATGTAAAAAAAAAAACGTACAAAAATGACAAAAACACACAGCAAAATTACTAAAATTATAACTAAACCTAAATTAAAAAAGGAAAATATTAATACAAAAATATTAATAAAAACTATAATAGTATCTTAATGATATAAAATAAACTGTGGTAGCTGCAGAAAGAGACCAAACATTTCCTTTTAATTTTATGCAGTAAAACAAACAAACAAATAAATATTTTAACACTAATAAAATACATGTATTTGGTATTGAGTTAATGTTTTAAGTGATTTGATTATTGAAAAGTTTATTCAGATTTGTACTATTAATCAGATGAGAGTATTATATAAAATATAAATATAAAATATTATATACATTTTTATTTAAAAAAAACTAACACTAGCTTTCTATTTTTTTCTATTCTATCTACTTGTTTTTCTTTGTGTGTGTGTGTGTGTGTGTGTGTGTGTGTACCTGGTATTTATCACATTATGGGGACCAAATGTCCCCACAAGGTCAAAATTTACTAGTATTAATATCCTTGTGGGGACATTTGGACATTTTTTAGGTCCCCATGAGGAAACAAGCTTATAAATCATACAGAATTTGTTTTTTTGAGAAAGTAAAAATGCACAAAGTTTCCTGTGAGGGGTAGGTTTAGGGGTAGGGTTGGTGTAGGGCAATAGCACATACAGTTTGTACAGTATAAAAACCATTACGCCTATGGAATGTCCCCATAAAACATGGAAACACAACATGTGTG